TCGGACGGCCTGGCCGGCGCCGTGCTGCGGGTGGACTTCTCCTGGGAGCGCTGCCAGGCCTGGCCCGTGACCAGGCTCTGATGGGTCTGCCTTTCACCACCACCAGAAGTTGGAGGGGGGGAGGATGTGGAGGAAGAGAGGAAGAGGAGGAGGAGGAGGAGGAGGAGGAGGAGGATGAGGAGGAGGAGGAGGTGGAGGGGGAGGGAGGAGGAGGAGGTGGAGGAGGGTGGAGGGAGGAGGAGGGAGGAGGGGTGGAGGAGGCGGAGGAGGAGGAGGAGGGGAGGAGAGGAGGAGGAGGGGAGGAGGAGGAGGAGGAGGAGGCGGAGGAGGAGGGAGGTGGAGGGAGGAGGAGGAGGAGGAGGAGGAGGATGAGGAGGGAGGCGGAGGAGAGGAGGAGGGGAGGAGGAGGAGGAGGAGGAGGTGGAGGAGGAGGTGGATGGAGGAGGAGGAGGAGGAGGTAGGAGGAGGAGGAGGGATGGAGGAGGAGGAGGAGGTGGAGGAGGAGGAGGAGGAGGAGGTGGAGGCAGCGAGAGGAGGAGGAGGAGTAGGAGGAGGAGGAGGAGGAGGAGGAGGAGGAGGAGGAGGAGGAGGGGACGGGAGGAGGAGGAGGAGGAGGAGGAGGAGGAGGAGAGGAGAGAGGGGAGGAGGAGGAGGAGGAGGCGGAGGAGAAGGAGGAGGAGGAGGAGGAGGAGGAGGAGGACGATCCCCTCTCCCTCCTACTTATGGTGGTGGCGGTGGAAAGCAAGCCCACCAGGCTCGCCTCGGTGCTCCTGCACGAGCTCGTGCACGCGTGGCACGACTCGGTGGCCTGGGCCCCCCCCGCGCAGCTGGCCGAGGCTCGACTACACCTAAGATTAGGTCGGGTATGCCCCTCCACAGGAGGAAAATTCAAACATAATCCAACATCAATCGGGGGACGATTTTTAAATATCAAACAATGCAAAAATCCAAACCATAGTATGGATAACAACTAGTTTTAGTTTTTCTTACAGTTTTTCTTACAAGCTCCGCCATAGCCGCGGCGTGTACGATCGGGTTCGGCCTTCCCGCGGCCCCCGAAGGTCGCGCACCGCAGGTCGCTCCTGCCTGCGGTGGGGGCGCGCACCACGAAGTCGTGTGCGCTCCGCCAGGGCCCCCAGGTTTTTTCGCTCCGGGCGCTGCGCGGCGGCTTCCCCGCGGCCGTGGAGGAAGCGGCTGCGCTCAGGGTGCGGGCTTCCCCTCGGGCGCACCTCGCGCGCGCGGGCTTTCAGGGTTGGGCCTCCTGCGAGGAGTTTTTTGCGGCCGCGCCCGCACTGTTAGTCGGTGCCACCCCGACATGCTAATACCATGAGTGCGTCACGCCCCCCGGGGCGACGCGCGCACCGAGAGATCTCATATCATATGCGTCGTGGCGGGCGCTTTCTGGCCACACTGCTCGAGAAACGATGTACTACAAGATGGGTATACTATATGTTCGGGCTGGACGCCCGCCTTCAAGGAGGACACATAGTGTTAATCTGTCTCTGTGCGTCCCATGTAGGGCCACTTTGTTACGTGTAGCCTCGAGGCGCACTCTGGCGCCTTCTTGGGCAAGTGCGCGCAGCTGCAGGGCCTCTGCGAGGCCGAGGGGCTGCCCTTCTTCCCCGACGTTTTCACGGAGTCCTGGGCGCTACTGGCCCTCGAGGACCTGCCCGATGGGCCCCTGTTCCACCACCGCTGTGCCATATGTACGACGGGGGAGAAGGGAGGATGGGGAGTGGGCCTCCCCGCCGCTCTCCGCCTTAGTCCGGGGGACACCGGTCGCGGCTGCGGGGACGGAGCACGGCGTGTCGTGGATAGAACGTATTCCTCCGCCGCCGCGGCCGCTCGGTCCCCGTCCGCTCCGCCCCCTCCCGCCTCTCCGCAGCCCCCTCCTCCTCCTCCTCCTCCTCCTCCTCTTCCTCCTTCTCCTCCTCCTCCTGCTCCCCCTCCTCCTCCTGCTCCTCCTCCTCCTCTTCCTCCTCCTCGTCCTCCTCCTCCTCCTCCTGCTTCTCTTCTTCATGTGGCAGTGGTGGTGGAAGATCGGCCCGTCACTGCCTGGGGTCGCCGGCTGCGCGGCGGCGGCCGCGGCGTGGGCGCGGCTGCTGGAGCGGGAGCCCCCGCTGCGGGGCAGCCTGCTGGGAGACCTCGCGGCCAGCGGGCTCCGGCCGCAGGCGGGTCCTCGCTCTCAGATCTCAGAGGAAGAGCGGGAGCATCATGGTGCCAACATCGCAGAGCGGATCTCGTGCGAAAAACAACGGGAAGGACCTGGATGGTCCTGGAGAATTTCGCTCCAGAATTCGAAGGGAATGTCGTGCGTTTTTTTTTTGGGGGGGGGGGTCGGAGTGAAGACTGCAACAAATCCACGTGAAATCCACTTCGTTTTTCGCTCGCCGTTTCAGGTTTTTGTGTTGAGTGAAATCCAAGCAAGAGTCCGCTGCAGCACGTCTGCAAGGTCGGTGCAATGAGGAGTACGATCGAACTCGGTATGGAAGTACTGGGGACGAAGATCCGCCACAAACAGATATACACATACACGCCCTCCGATGAAGTGTTCCTGGGCCTCAGGGTTGGGTGGCGGTGTAAGAAAAAATCACCACTGAGAGCCAGCGATTCTATATACCGCCGCCCTCCCTGAATTTACATACGAAGTTTCTTGGAGGGTGTTTGTTTGTGTGTATATATATATATGTCTATATATGACATACGAAGTTCCTTGGAGGGTGTTTGTGTGTGTATATATATATATATATATATATATTGTGCGAAGGCCTTGCGGCCAGTGCCGCCGACCCTGAACGGGGACGAGAAGGAGGACGACGACGCTGTCTGTATATATATATATATATATATATATATATATATGCAGGTATATTCCGGTGGTGCAGAAGACTTACAGCAGTTCCTGTCCGTGTTGAGCAGGGCTCGCTGCTGGTGCCGACGCGGGTGCTGCCCCTCGGAGGCAGCAGGCCGCCTGCCCAACGACAGCCGCGGTCGGTCTTGGACAACTTCTGTGTGCTGGGCATCGTGCCGACGCCGCTGCTCTTGCCTTGCTTTTGCCTCGTCGGGCCTCCCTGGGAGAGGCCCTCGTCGCCACGGCCGGACTCGCCTCGAGACATCTGGTCATGTCGCGCCCCGGGAGAGGTCCAGGGAATACAGTCGGACCGAGGTAGGAGATCGAGGTCGGTTCGGGGAGGGTACTCTGGTGTTCTTCGTGCTTGTTGAGCGTACCCTTGCATGTTCTACTTGTCTTGGCCGACGGAGGGTCTCATGCTCTTGAGGGATGTGCTTCTTGTCTGGGTGTGGCTGTAGCGGTATCGAAATTTTCTTTTGGTTTCCTCCAGACTCCCGAGCCCCCTGCCAAGAAATCGACCGCTCAGAGAAGAAGGGGGCTCGAGGATGTACCCTTGAGGGGCTGTTCGGACGCACCCATGTCGAGGATCTGGCCCCCCCCCCCTCCCTGGGCATCGCTCGGACGTGTGCATTTTTTCTCGGCGTGGACCATCGAGGAGCATCTTGGATCATCTCGCGAACAAAAACGCACGACATCGAAACATGCACGGGGAGTGCACGTCCGAGCGATGGCGAGCTCTCGCTATCGCACACCCTCGAGACGGGCCCCAATCTGTGGGTCCAGTCGAGAGCACCACAAGGTCGGGGGCTGGGGTCGAGCCCCCCCCTGCTCTTCTAGATGGTTCTCAGGAAGTGCGTTGGCGCCCAGTGTTTTTTTGTGTCAGTGTGTGTGTGTGTGTGTGGTTGCCCCGCTCCGCTCAGCGGATAGCATGCAGCATGTGTTGGCTCTCATGGGCTACCGCCTGACTACCCACCAGACCACCCCAACCTAACCTCAAGACCCTGATTTCGGGTCGGGGGGTGTACGGGTTCCACATGTGTTCTTTCAATGTACCCCGACGACCCCCCCCCCGAGTGGGAATGGAGGGCAAACTGGGGCCCTTCGTGTTGGCTTGGGGTGGTTGGGTGGCGCCTGCGTCGCCCCGGAGGGCCTCGGCCGACAAGTGCACGATTGCGTCAGCACGCGCTCCGAGGGCCATCGATATTCTCGGCGGCGAGCGAGGGGGGGAAGTGCGAAGGAGAAGGCCTTCTCAGAAGGCGGCGGTGCCTTCCAGAGGGCCTCCGGCCTTCTGAGAGAGCTGTGCCGTGTCGCCGGGGAAGGCTCAGAAATTTGCACGAACGAGATGGGTACGGAAAGAATGGGTACAATGCCCAACAGCAGTTCGAACAGGATTCGCTGTCCACGCCGCCGCGGCCTGTGTCCATCCGAGACAGAAGGCCGCCTGCCCAACAGCCGGCCGCCGTTGGTCTGGGACAACATTTGTTGTTGGGCATCGTACCCATTTTTCCGTACCCATTTCGGGCGTCAAAGTAATAGCTCTTCTTTGTTATGCGGCGGTTGCATTGTGGATGCCCCCCTCCGGCATTTTCGTGTTTCTTCGCGGTTGTCCTCGTAAGGGCCGATGGGACGGGCTTCGTTTATTCTGGTCGAGGTGGCACGCCGCGGCCCCCGCCGACCCGCCTCCGCAGGCCTCCGCCTCCTACAGCCGCCTCCGCTCCTCCGCCGCCTCCGCCGCCGCTCCTCCTCCCCCTCCCCCCTCCCCCCTCCGCCTCCTCCGCCTCCGTCCCTCTCACTCCTACTCCGCTCCCTCCTCCATCTCCTCTCTCTCCTCCTCCCCCGTTGTCGACCCTGGTGAAGCATTTCCTACCTTCCTCCTCCTCCGTCGCCGACGTCTCGCCTGCCCGTCGCCGACGTCTCGCCTGCAGGCCGCGCTCGCCTCGAAGCAGCACCTGAACGCCGCGAACATCGCCCAGGCCCTTCGGCTGGGCTACGAGCCGCTGCGCGCCTGGCGCCGGGCGGCCGCGCGCGCGTGCCTCGAGCGCCTGGCCGGCGGCGACGGCGCGGTCCACGTGCGCGGGGACTTCCAGGGGCAGCGATAGGGACAGCGATAGGAGGCCTCCTCCTCCTCCGCCTCCTCCTCCTCCTCCTCTTCCTCCTCCTCCTCCGCCTCCTTCTCCTCCACTTTTAAACATCGGGGCAGCGATAAGGTGCGGCTTCTGGCTGGGGCTGTCTTGCTTTAGCACATCGGGATGGTGTTGCGAGAACATTGTTTTGGCTCTTAGCGCATTCTTGGGTTCTAAGAACATTTCGTGGTAGGCCTATTGGAACGCCGGGACGGTCGGTCCCTGCTCAAGGGACGTGGAGGATGAGATTCAGGGCCTCGGGGCTCGAGGTGTCGGAGCGTTTGCTGCAGCTCTAGGCGTTTTTTTTTTTTTTTTTTCCCTCTGGCCTTCGGGGCTGCTCGCCAGCAGCCGCGCCTCGCCGAGAGCGTTCCAGGGGTGCACGGAGCGTCCCGCGCGGGCCGCCGGCGAGCCAAGGCATGCCCCAGAAGCCAGGGGTCAATGCCAGAGTGGCGGGTGGGCTCCAAGGGGGGTGCGTCGAACCCCAATCGCCCATGGATCGCCGATAGGCAGGCGATCGCAAACACGGGTCAAGGGGGCGTGGATGAGCGACGGGTCTCGTTTCCATGGGGCATCGCGGATTTCCGCCGCCGATCGAGGCGGCACCGGCCGCATTTTGGGCAGGGCACCTCCCCCGCTCCATGGATTTCGCGCCCGCGCGCCAAATCCACGGATCGCTAATCCATGCTTGCCCGCCCCCGAGATGGGGGCCCGAGAGCCCCAGCCTGCCCAGGCAGGTGCGGATTCACTGCCTCAGGCCTGTTGCCGACGTGCCGCCGATTCCAGGTCGACGTTTCCCCCTCCCACGCCAGTCCCCCCCCTACCGTTGCAGGACTACGCCGTGGCGCCGCTGGCCCTGCTGCAGGGTGCGGCGGAGAGGCTTCGGCGTCGCCCCAACATACCAAGCAGAGGAGGAAAAGCTACCCCTACCTCCCTCCCCCGCCCGTTTTCCTTTTCTTGGGGGGGTTTCCTGGGAGGCCCTCGTCGCCTCCGCTGGATTCGCCTCGAACTCCTGGCCAGAATGCACCCAGGGAGAGGTCCGGGGAGTAGCGGTGTCGGTACCTCTTGGTTTCCCCAACTAAACTCACGTGTGCGTGGCACTTCCAGGGTCCAGGGCGACGCGCGCGACGAGGAATCTTGCAGTACGGGCTCCGTGGCGGGCAATTTCTGGCCGTGCCGCTCAGATAGCGATGTACTAGAAGCTGGTTATACTTAAATGCTGTTCCAACCTACTCTCGCCCTGACCACCTGGAAGAGTTTCAAGCACCAGGAGCGTACCGAAATTCAGGCTTTCACGCGTCGGGCCCCGTGAGCGATGCTCGTTCGACGCTGCTTCGATGCTTGTCGGGGTGCTCGAACTGATGTTTGGGCTGTGGTCCTAAAGTATGATGGGAGCAGCATAATCCGAGGCGGGAATTTATACATGACCACCGCCTGCAGGGTCAGTTTTCGGAGCCTCGGCAGGCGGTGGATATGGACATCAATTGCGACCCACCCGCGACCCACCTGCGACCCAACCCGCGACCCACCCACGTGGTTTTAACAAAAAATCGGCGCCTGCGGCGGGCTCGTTGTATATCTTGAAAAATGTTGCGCCTGCGGCGGGCTTCTTCAAAGCCTCGCACACTGCCCACGTCCCCGCCGCCCCCGCACTCTTATCCGCAACTGCGGGGTGCTACGTATTTATTCGGGCCCCCGGGGGCCGAATTATATCCATATCCACCGGCCGCTGGGGCACCAGGACGTCGGTTCCCAGGCGGTGGACATGGAGAAGTCCCCGCCTCGCATGGGAGCAGCACACGTTGTGCGATGCGTTCGGGGGTCGGACGGCACGCCTCCGGGCAGGGCACACAGCACCCGCATGCTGCCCCTGTGCGCCCCAAGGCTGGGGCTGACCGCGGCCGTCGGGCCCCGCGGCGTGGAGGTGGCCAGGAAAGAGTCCCGCGGGGCCGCAGCCGACGACGACGGCGACGACGGCGACGACGGCGACGGCGGCGGCGGCGGCGACGACGACGACGACGGCGACGAGGGAGGGGGGGATCGTCCCGATTCGATTCGATGTGGCCCGCTCGCGATCCTGCTTTGTGGCTCGACCCGACGGCGATTCGCAGCGGCGCAGCTCCCGGCGATGCGGTCACGGTGTTCCGATCCGGTGCAGGGCTGCTCTCTGGGAGTCGGAGCCGGGCGGGGGGGCCGCGAGGTCTGCGGCGTGTGCAGCGGGTGCCCGCTCTCTGCCGCCGGGCGCCCTCTCCTGCATGCGTGGCCAGCTCTGGCCCCAGGAATCTTGGCATCGCTCGGACGTGTGCATTTTTCTTTCGGCGAGGACAATCGAGGAGCATCCTTGATCACTTGGCGAAACAACCACGCACGAAACCGAACAAAACACTGGGAATGGACGTCCGAGTGATGGCGAGGAGTGCGGCTGCGTGCGCCCGTCGCTCCTCTTCCCCCCCTTTCTGTCCCCCCGTTCGTCCGCTCCGGGAGGGACGGCGGGCGGGGGGAGAGAGCGGCGGGGCTGGAGACAGGAGGAGGGATCGGCGGTCGACGCTTTGTGCATAGGTGTCCCTGCTGGTGCGGCTAGTCGCTGGGCGCTGAGAGGGAGGTGCGGTGCGGTGTCTGCGGTCGGGGAGGCGGGTGCGGTGTCAGCGGCTGGATGCTCTCGGGAGAGCTCTTTGGAGAAGCAAGCGGCGCCGACGACGGCCCTCCCGTCCCCTTCCTCCCCGCCCCCTCTCCCCCATCCCCCTCCTCCTGCCCCTCCTCCTGCCCCTCCTCCTGCCCGTCGCCCCTCCAGCTCCTCCCGCTCCCTCCCCTCCTGCTGCTCCCTTCCCCCTCCCCCTCCACCTCCCCCTCGATGGCGGGGGATTGTGGAGTCCCTCGAGGTCGGGGGCGCGCGCGAGAATTGGCGCGTGCGTCTGTGAATGCTCTGCGTGCTCTGTGGCGCCTTCCTCTCCTTCGTCGTCGTCGTCCTCCTCCTCCTCCTCCTCCTTCAATTTTCTATCCTCTATTTTCGCCGCCCCCCAAACAAAACCTGGACAACATTCAACCCATGTTGTTTTTAGTTTTTTTTTTTGTTTTTTTTTTTTTTTTGTTTTTGTGTGTGTGTGGGTCGATGAGAAAAATCCTCCTCCCCCTCCTCCTCGATCGCCCCCTCCTCCTCTTTCTCCTTATCACCTGTACTGTTTCTTCTCCCCTACACGAAGAATAAAACAACTCTGGACTAACATCTCCAAACAGTCTTTTCTGTACGTTTTTTGGGGGCGGGGGGGGGGAGCGGGGGAACACGAATCTCCTTGTCGATCGCTTGGAGTAGGAGGAGGAGGAGGAGGAGGAGGAGGAGGAGGAGGAGGAGGAAAAAGGAGGAGGAAAAGGAGGAGGGGAGATGGAGGAGGAGGAGATGGAGGAGGAGGAGATGAGGAGGAGGAGGAGAGGAGGGGAGGAGGAGGAGGAGGGGAGGAGGAGGAGGAGGAGGAGGGGAGGAGGAGGAGCAGGAGGAGGAGGAGGAGGGAGGAGGAGGAGGAGAGGATGAGGAGGAGGGAGTAGGAGGAGGAGGAGGAGGAGGAGGGAGGAGTGAGGAGGACGGACGGAGGGAGGAGAGGAGGAGGAGGAGGAGGAGGAGGAGGAGGGAGGAGGAGGAGGAGGAGGAGGAGCGGCCGGCGAGGGCCGTCGCAGCGAGGGTCTTCGCAGGCGGCCACGGGGCTCGAGCGCCCGCGTGTCGCCAGCAGAAGTGTCTCGACGAGCGTTGTGTGCTCAGCTTCGGGCCCTGGGGCCCTCGCAGATTCCACCTGGCCCTCGCCGGGCCGCTCCTCCTCCTCCTCTTCCTCCTCCTCCTCCTCCTCCTCTCCTCCTCTCTCCTCCTCCTCCTCCTCCTCCCCGTCGTCCTCCTCCTCCTCCTCCTCCTCCTCCGCCCTCGCAGAATCCACCTGGTTATGATGCTCCAACCTGCTTTCGCCTTGACCACCTGGAAGAATGTCGAGCGCCCCCAAAATTACCGAAACTCAAGGGTTTTCACGTGTCGGGCCCTGGGAGACACTCGCCCGACACTGTTTCGACACTGTTTCGACACTCTTTTGACACTTTTCCTGGTGCTCGAAATGATTTCTGGGATGTGGTCTTTAAGTAGGATGGGAACAACATAAGCCCTGGGGCCCTCGCAGAATCCACCTGGCTGGGGACGCCGAGACGGTCAGCGCTGAAGGTAGGGAAAACAAGCAATGACATAAACATATTAATTCGCAGGTCTGCGCTGATTTCTCGGATCTGCGCTGGAGCCCCCTGGTGGCGCCTCCGGCGCCGCCCCTGGCGCGCTCCGCGCGCCAGGCAGGGGGTTCCAGCGTCGATCCGAGAAATCCGCGCGGACCTCTGAGTTTTAATGTGTATGTCATTGCTTGTTCCCCGAAAAGGGGCCAACCAGTCCCCTTGGATCTCCTCCGGCTGACCCGTGTGTGTGTGTGTATATATGAGCCTCGTGGGGCGGACACCCATCTCCTCCTGATGGACCAGTCTTCCACCACCACTACCACAGGTGGGACGGGGAAGAAGGGAGGATGGGGAGCTCCTCCTCCTCCTCCTCCTCCTCCTCCTCGTCGTTGTCGTCCTCCTCCTCCTCCTCCTCGTCCTCCTCCTCCTCCTCCTCCTCCTCCTCCTCCTCCTCCTCTTGATCCTTCCTCTCCTACCTATGGTAGCGACGGTGGAAAGTCAGGCCACCACCTCCTCTCCGTCCGCTGACGCGGATGCGCGAGCTGCTTCGCGGCTGGCCTGGGCTCGCGACGCGGCCCATGGCCCGCCCCGGCCCGCGCGATCCCCCCTCCCCTCGGGGCCCCACGCGCCCCCGGCCCGGCCAGGGCCGAGAGCCCCGCCCGCCGCTCCTCCCAGGCGCCGTGCTCTTCTCCTGGGCCTCGCTGGAACCACTCGGGCCGGACGGGAGGCTCTTCTCCTGGGCCTCGCTGGAGCCACTCGGGCCGGACGGAAGCGGGGGGGACTGGGGGGGGGGGGGGGGGTCACGAGATCTGCTGCGTGCAGCTGGTGTCGGCCCCGCCGCCGGGCCCGGGCCTCGCTGCCTGGGCGCCTCCCGGCGCCGGGAGGCGCCGGGGAAGTCGGCTATGCGTGAGCGGATCCTCCAACCCCTCCTTTGCTACCCCCCCTTTCGCCCGGCCCGAACCATACTCGGGGGTGGACAGAACGTTGCCAACAGTGACACGTCGATTAGTGAATTGTCCGTTTTCGGTTCTCGAGAGGGCGCCGTGGCCGTCATTTTCCGGGCTTGCGCCCGCCAGGTTTGGGCCTCGGGTCGTCGTTTTCACTGAACCACGTTTTACGAAAGGGGGGTCTGTCCATCCCCGACACATGTTGAGGCCCCAGAGGGCCGTCGAAAAAGCGAACAGGCGAGAGGGCAGAGCGCACGCGCGCAGATGCCCTCCAGGCGTCTGGAGTCTTGTGGCCTCTCGGGCGCCGCGCCCTCGCGCGGGGGGCGGGGCGGCCGAGGGGGCCGCGGCCGAGGTCGGGCGAGGAGACCTGGGCTTATGCCGGGCGTGCCCCCCTACAGGGGGATTTTCGCTGAAAAATAAAAAATACCCCCAACATACCCCAACAAGGCCAACAAATTGTCAGAAAATAGCCCCCAGATTATTTTTGGACTATTTTTGGGTTATTTCTGGGGTATGTCTTATTTCTCGTTGACAATCCCCCTGTAGGTGGACAGGCCCGACTTAAATCTGGGCATGGCCGCCGCCCCTGGCCCGACCCGTCTCCAGGCCGGAGCGGTGCGCGCGGCCGAGGGCGATCGGAGCCGGTGGCGCCGAGGGTGAAGGCGCGGCCGCTCGGGGCGCCGTCGAAGCTGCCGCAGGCCCGGCTGCCATCCGGGGGCTGCGGGCCGGACGGGCTCCCCGGCCCCGCCTGCACGTCACGCGGGCTCGAGAGGTCGAGGAAGCCACGGCAACCTGGCCAGGCCAGGGGGAGCCCTCTGTGCCCAGAGGCGCGCGGCGCGGCGCGGCGCGGCGCGGCGCGGCGGGCCGGACCGCGGCATGTTCGACGGCAGCCCGCGGCGCGCTGGGGCGACTCGGCTCCCAGCGGGGCGGGCGCCTCCGGGCCTCTGTTCCCTTCGGGGGCGGCGAGGTGGGGCGGGGGGGGGAAGGCCTCGCCCCCGGGCGCCCCCTCATCCAATCAAGCGGTGGCGAGGCGTCCTGGCTCGCCTGCAGGCCCCCTCGCAGCCCTTCTCGTCTTGCCGTCTTCCCCTCCTTCTTCCTCCCCCCTGTCTCCTTCTTCGTCCTTCTCTTCGTTGGCTCCTGCAGCGTGTCGCAGCAGTTTGAAGGCATTTTTTGGTGCTGGGCCAGGCGCGCATGCGCGCGCGCCAGCGGCTGCCCGGCAGCGGTCGGGCTGCGGGCGCGTTGGGGGCGACAATGAGGAACAGGAGAAGGAGGAGGATGAGGAGGAGGAGGACGGCGATGCCGACGTCGTCCTTTAATTACTCCTCTACATTGTTTTCGTCCTCCTGCTGCTGCTATGTCCTCTGGCTCCTCGGGCTCCTCCGTCTTCGTTGCTCTCCTCCTCCTCCTCCTCCTCCTCCTCCTCATAATCGTTATCATTATCCTCCTCCTCCTCCTCCTCCTCCTCCTCCTCCTCCTACTCATCATCTTCATCAACATCAACATCATCATCCTCCTCCTCCTCATCATCCTCATCAACAACATCATCAACAACATCATCATCACCATAATCTTTCTCCTCTGCCTCCTTCCACTTCTATTTCTGGCCACCTTGGCCCCAAACCTGCTTTCCTCCCCCTCCTCTCCTCCCCTCTTCCTCCCGTGCGTGAGCGCCTCCCTCTACCCTACGTGCCCTCTTCCCCTCCCTCCTCCCCCTCTCCCTCCTTCCATCCCCCTCTCTCTCCTCTCTCCCCTCGGTAGGGTCTCGGTGGGGTGCCGGCGCTGCCCTGGTGGGGGCCCTCGGGCTCCATCCCGCCCGCTTTCTGCACAGGAGCCTGGGAGGGGCTCCGGCACCGCCCCTCCTCCGCAGCACCTGCGCCCCCCCCCCGCCCGCGCCGCCTTCGCATCCCATGGGGGCCCGCGGGGCTCTCCTCGGGCCCTCTCTCTGCAGCCTCTCCCGGTGCCTCCCCAGGGCCTCCCAAGGGGGTCTCCGGGGCCTCCCCGCCCTCCTGCCCGCACACGCCGGGCCACCGCGGCACCCCCCCCGCCCGCGTGGCAGGCAGCCGCGGCCCGCCACCGCGGCCATGGGGCGCAAGAAGCGGACCGGCGGCGACGCGGCCGCGGAGGAGGCGCGCGCGGGGAGGGCCGCCCGGTCGTCGCGAGCGCCCGCCTGGGGCCCGCCTAGGCGCGCGCGGATCGTGCGGCTCGTGCAAGGACCACGGCGGCGGTGCTGACCGCGACGGCGGGCGGCGGCGGCGGCGCCCACGGCGGCGCCGACGGCCGCGGCGGCGGCCACGGGCTGCGACGGCGGCCAGCTGTGGCGGCGGGCGTGGCCTCTGCTGCAGGCCGCCGCCGCCGCCGCCGTTGCCGGGCAGCCGTCCGACGTGGCCCCTGCCGGGGGCGGCCAGGAGGCGCCCGCTGCAGGCCCCGGGGGGGGAGGGGTGTGGAGGGCGAGGGCGAAAGGGGAGAGATGAGAGGGGAAGGAGGTGTGTGTGTGTGTGAGGAGGAGGAGGAGGAGGAGGAGGAGGAGGAGGAGGAGGAGGAGGAGGAGGAGGAGGAGGAGGAGGAGGAGAGGAGGAGGAGGAGGGGAGGAGGTTGTGGCGGACGAAGCAGGAGGTGATGATGATGATGATGATGATGATGATGATGATGATGATGTATGATATGATGTTGATGATGATGATGATGATGATGATGCTGATGCTGATGCTGATGCTGATGCTGATGCTGATGGTGCTGATGTGATGCTGATGCTGATGCTGATGCTGATGTTGATGATGATGATGATGATGATTGATGATGTATGGTGGTTGGTGGTTGTGGTGTGGGTGGTGGTGATGATGATGATGATGATGATGATGATGATCATGATGATGATGATGATGATGATTGATGTTGATGGTGGTGGTGTGTTGGTGGGGGTGGTGGTGGTGATGATGATGATGGAAGAGATGATGATTATGATGTGTGATGCATGCTGTGCTGGCTGCTGCCTGGCTTTCTGCTGCTGCTGCCTGCTGACGATGTGATGATTGATGCTGATGATGATGATGATGATGATGATGATGATTGATGATGTGATGGATGATGATGATGATGATGATGATGATGATGATGATGATGATGATGATGGATGATGTGATGATGATGATGATGATGATGATGATGAATGATGATGATGATGAGATGATGATGATGATGATGATGATGATGATGATGATGATGATGATGATGATGATGATGATGATGATGATGATGATGATGATGATGATGATGATGATGATGATGATGATGATGATGATGATGATGATGATGATGATGATGATGATGATGATGATGATGATGATGATGATGATGATGATGATGAGGAGGAGGAGGAGGAGGAGGAGGAGGAGATAGGAGGTGGACGAGGACGAGCAGCAGTAGGATGAGCAGGAGCAGCGGGAGGAGCAGGATGAGCAGTGGACGGCCAGGGAAAGGTAAGGATGGGGGCGACGACGACGAGGCAACCTTCGGATCCAAAAATGTGGCCTGCTCGGGGGCGAGGCCTCATTGCGAACGACGGGAGCACAACGCTGATCTTGGAATGAGGCCGGCGCTGCAGCAGGGACGCCACTTCGAACCACCGAGAACGATCCGATTTTGGAACGAATCAGATGAGCGACGCAGACTATCAGGTTCGACTGCGCAGACACTGGCGCGTACGCGTCCTGCGTAATGTCGCGCGTGAGCGCACTCGTTTCGAATGTGGCGTGCCGCGCTGGCGGCCCGCGTAAGTGACCGTGCAAGGCCGCTTTGCCATCGCATGCCAATTTCCGTTTGTTTATAGACAGCCAATGCGTGGACTTCGTCGCGGCCCGAGCGCACCGAAGAACCTCCAGTGCCCTAGCTGGCCCAGACCTTCCGAGCCTCCGCCCTCGAGTGGCGGCGTATCAGGCCCAGTTTCTTTTGTCCGGCCTGCCCCCGCTTAGAGACGAGGGGCTCCATCCGCGAGGCGTCCCTCAACCAGTGCTCTTTTCGACCCTGTGGCGACGTGCTTCGACCCTGCGCCAGGCGCCACCGCCGCGCTTCGGCGCCCAGGCGGCTCGAGGTCGCCTGCGCGAGCGCCAGCACGGGCGCAGTCGCGCGCATGCCTGGGCTCCTCTCGTGCCTTTCGCGCCCCTTCGGCGCCTGCTCCTCCCTTCTCCCTCGCTCCATCCCTTCTCTCTTCTGCCTCCTCCTGGCAGGGCGGTGTTCTTTAGGCCCCTGGGCAGCGCGGTACTCGATGTTCAGCTGTCGCCACTTTTTGACTTACCTTCTGGCGGCGTGCCGGGGGGGGGCAGGGGGAGGGGGGGAAGGCTTCTCAGAAGCATTCCTGCTTCCAAGAAGGCGTGGGCCTTATCTGTACATGTATGGCCAGCGCCTTCTAAGAAGCAGCCTCCTTCTCAGAAGCCTCCCCCTCTCCCCCTACCCCCCTCTGCGCGCTGTCAAATCTCCACGCCTGTGGCTTCCCCGTGGGGCCTGGGCGTGTGGTGCTCATAGTGCCAGCCAGCCGAGTCGATCCGACACTCCCTCCTCCCTCGTGCCGTCGCTTGTGCCCTTTTCGGGAGCCTCTTGGGGCCCAGGCCCTTTTGGGGGCCCTACCTGGGCACTCCTCTTGGGCCGTCCCGCGGGCCCGTTTTGGAGGCCCAGACAAAGAATGGCCCACAGAGGTCCTGCCTTTGTGTTGTTTCTTCGGGAGGGGCTGCGACGCTGGTCTGAGGCACAGTTCGGCCACGCGCAGAGGGGGGTAGGGAGAGGGGGGAAGCCTTCTTGGAAGCACCCCGGCTTCTTCGAGGGCGCGGGCCTTGTCCGCAGGCGTAGGGCCAGCGCCTTCTACGAAGCAGCCTCCTTCTGAGAAACCTTCCCCCCTACCCCTACCCCGAACGAGTGTGCTAACAACAAGTGTGATACAGAAACAAGTGTGATAAAACAAACACATGTGACAAACACACGTGTGATACAGCAGTTTTTTTGTTCGTGCAAACAAATAAATAGTTTTCACTTAGAATGGACTATTATGTTATTCTCGCACTTGCGTTTTTTTAATCGCACTTGTTCTTTACCACGCTTGCTTTTTACCCCCTTTGTGCGCGCCGCCAGACAGCTGCGCTCCCGGAGCCCTGGCCGTCCTCCGGGGGTTCACCTCTGGCCGCCCCCCGCCCTGGGCAGGCGCGGCCCCCGCCGCAGAGGCGGGCGCGGGCGCGGCCGCCGCGCCGCTGGGGAGCCTGACCAGCCTCACCGAGATGCTGAAGGCCCCCAGGAAGAGGGGGGGAGGGGGGAGGAGGAGGAGGAGGAGGGGGAGGAGGAGGAGGAGGAGGAGGAGGAGGAGGAGGAGGAGGAGGAGGAGGAGGAGGAGGAGAGGAGGAGGAGGAGGAGGGGAGGAGGAGGGAGGAGGAGGAGGGGAGGAGGAGGAGGAGGAGGAGGGGCGAGGGGTGAGGAAAGGCGGGGCGAGGGAGTGAGGAAAGGAGGGAGAGAGGGAGGGAGGGAGGGAGGGAGTCAGGCGATCGCAAACATGGATCGAGGGGGCGTGGATCAGCGACGGGTCCCGTTTCCATGGGGAATTGCGGACTTCCGCCGCCGAAAGAGGCGACGCCGGCCGCATTTTGGGGAGGACACTTCCCCCGATCCATGGATTTGGCGACTGCGCGCCAAGTCCATGGATCGCTAATCCATGCTTGCGTGCCCCCGAAGGGAGGGAGGGAGGGAGGTAGGGAGGGAGGGATGGCGGGAGTGAAGGAGGAGTGACCGTTGGCCAAGCGTGGGGCACAGACGTTTGGCCACAAGCTGGGCCAGATGTGTCCCCCCAGCCGTTGAAAGAAAACCCTCGGGGGAACACTCGGGGGAGGAAGAAAGAGAGGAACCGGAGCAGGAGCGGCGGCGGCGGCGGCGGCGGCGGCGGCGGCGGCGGCGGCGGCGGCGGAGGAGGAGGAGGAGGAGGAGGAGGAGGAGGAGGAGGAGGAGGAGGAGGAAGAGCTCCTTCAGCAACCTTGTTTTCACGATCCTGGCGTACTTCGTGGCCCAGCAGGCGCTGTGCCGCATGCGCACTGTCCCTCGAGCGGATCTTGGGGTCCAGGGTGTGCGCAAGGAGGAGGATGATGATGATGATGATGATGATGATGATGAGGAGGAGGAGGAGGAGGAGGAGGAGGAGGAGGAGGAGGAGGAGTACCAGTGCAAACCACCCGAGCCTCATCGGCGATGTTGGAGTAGACCCTCCCCCCGCGCTTCCCCTCATAGGCCCCTACAAGGTTTCATTCTAACTAAGGGAAATGCCCCGTTGGGAGAGAGCCATCTGAAGATCCTGAAGAGTGTATGAATACCATTCTCGGGACTTCAACTCCACGAATCAACCTGACTGCTGCGTCTTGACGACCCTGAATCGTGCCAGAACGCCATTCCTGGGACTTCAACACCGCGAATCAACGTGACTGTCGGGTCCTGGCAATCCCGAATCGTTCGAACACACCGTCTCTAGTATGGTAACCAGGGGAACCAGCGAAGCGCATGCTCATTTGTAAGACGAGTTTGTGCGGCGCTAAGGCGAGAGCTATATTTTGAAAAGGAGCTACTTTCGATCCGTGGAACCCTTGCAAATGTTTAATGTGCAGGGCGCTAAGGCAAGAGCAACATTGTGGAAACCGCCCGGTCTCAATCCGTGAAGCTCTACTAAACTTTAAAGCGAAGGTGCGCGGCTTTAGGGCGAGAGCCACATTTTGGAAGCGGCACGCCCTTTATAGACGATTTTGATTTGTTTGGCTTCATATTCATAAGCGGTAAGGAAATCTTGGGCGAGACGCCTTGGCCACCCTTTCGACTGGCCTCGTGGTGTGACAGGGAGGTGTTAGTAGTAAGGAGAAGGCATGCAGGAGGAGGAAGAGGAGGACGATGAGAAGGAGGAAGAAGGAGAGGAGGAGGAGGAGGAGAAGGAGGAGGAGGATGAGGAGGAAGAAGAGAAAGAGGAAGAGGAGGAGGAGGAGGAGGGAGGGGGAGGGAGGGAGGCACCCGTGTGACCAGAAAACCGACTCGGGTGAGCTGGCCCGATGGCGCTTCGCAGTGCACCGACATCTGAGGCCGGAGCCAAAACTGAAGCGCACAGAAAATGGAAAGGGCCCACCCGAGGAGGAGGAGGAGGAGGAGGAGGAGTAGGAGGAGGAGAAGGAGGAGAAGGATGATGATGATGATGATGATGATGATGATGATGATGATGATGATGATGATGATGATGATGATGATGATGATGAGGATGATGAGGATGATGATGATGATGATGATGATGATGATGATGATGATGATGACGACGATGATGATGACGATGATGATGATGATGATGATGATGATGATGATGATGATGATGATGATGATGATGATGATGAGGAGGAGGAGGAGGAGGAGGAGGAGGAGGAGGAGGAGGCATCTCGGGGATTTCTGGGGGCCTCTTTTGGGCCTGCCGGGGCTCCTTGGGAGCCCGTCGGGGGCCTCCCGTGGCCTTGCGGGGGGCCTCCTGGGCTGTCTGAGGGTTCTCTTGGCCCGTCGGACGTCTTCGGTCCCGTCTCTCGGGGCTCTCCTGGAGGCTTCGGGCTGTCTTGGAGGCTCCCTGGGCCGTCTTCGGCCGTCGGGAATCCGAGCGAGCTACCGATGTGGAGCATCCTCTGGGCCTACCCATGGCTAGGCGGGCGAGGCTGTGGCCTCGACGCATACCGTCGCGTGTGGAGATTATGCACGCGCACTGCGAGACAATCAGGCATGCGCGAGACATGGAGCGGGAATCCGAAAAAGCGAGACCGCGAAAAGCATGGACGTCTCAAACAGGCAAGTCAATCGTGCTGGCCTCCTCGGGTGCTCTTGGAGGGTCTCGTGAAGGCCTCTTGGGTCGTCTTGAGGCGGTCTTTGGCCGTCTTGTGCTCATCGTGAGCCGTCTGGATCGTCCCCTGGTCATCGTGGCCATGTTGGAGTTACCTGAATTAATCTGCCTGGGAGGCATGTGGGGGACACCTGGGGTAATCTTGGCCGTCTTGAAGGCCATCTTCGGGCCGTCTTCGTGACCCAGCGGCAGTGTAATACCGTTCGGCCCCCTCACTCCGATCTTTTGTGGGAGGTACCTGTGGGCAGCTCACCAATGGCACTTGGGAGGTGCCTGCGGGCAGCCCAGGAAAGGCACTTGGGAGGTGCTTCCAGACCGCCCAGGCATGGCACTTGGGAGGTACTTGCGGGCAGCCCAGGAGAGGCACTTGGCAGGTACCTGCGGGCGCCTAGGTAAGGCACTTGGGACAAACCTGTGAACAGCCAGGGCCAGGCCCAGGGGGGGGGGTGCAGAGGGGGGCAGCCCCGTGTCCCCCATGGCGGGACGGGTCCTCGGGAACGGGGTCCAGGGCTTGCTGGGCCCTTCCACAGCCTCTGACGACAGCCCCCCCAGGACCACCCGGAGGGCGCCACGAAGCTCGTAGAGAGCAGCAGTTTGCGAGGAGAGGCCCCCAAGCTGGCTCAAACGCATCTCGAACGCCTCCAAGACGGTTCAAGATAGCCCAAAACGGTTGACAAGAGGCTCCTGATGATACGAGCCCAGGAGGCCCGACGATGACCCCTGAGTGGCTTTCAGCGTCGACACTCTTTGATGTTCGATGGGTTTCGTCCTATTTCTGTAGACTCGTTTTTCCGTCGCTAGAGCGCTCACGACAGCCGAGGATGCCCCCAAGATCGCCCGAAGGAGACGGCCCAGAAGTGTCCCAAGTGGGCCTCGAGAGGAGCACGAGTCGATCCGAAGGCCCCCATGCGGCCCCAGAGAGCCTCAGGGCGCCCCGAGAGGCCCCCCACGAGGCTCAAGACGGCCAAAGAGGGCGCTACAACGACTCAGGAAAGGCCTCCAAAGGTCCCAATATGCGTCCAAGACGAAGCGAAGATGGCCTAGAAGGCTTGAGGTGGCTCAAGAGAGAGCGCCAAGACGGCCCAGGAGATCCCCAACCGGCGCCAACACGGCCCCCTGAACCCCATGACAGTCCAGGAGGCCCCCAAGACTCAGGAGGGGAAAAAACACACAGACACAATTAGTCGACGATTCCCAGAACATATGGGAAAATATGGGAAGTGGGAGGGGAAGACCGAAGCCCCGAAAATGTATGAAGATAGGGGGAATCTTTTTGTTTGTGTGTATTTATTTGTGTGTCCCAGGGCCCCTTCCAAGACGGCCTCGACGGGCGCCCGATTCCGAGAGCGCCCCGAGCGGGCCCATAGGGCCCCCAAAAAGACGACCCACAACAAGGTCGCTCGCGGCGAGGTCCGGCGCCGGAAGGTTCCGGCTCTCTTCCGAGGCGTCTGCGGCTCAAAAGAAAGAAACATATAACAAAAAGAACAACAAAAAGAGACGAAAGAAAGAAACAAAAATAACAACAAAAAGAAACAACAAAAAAAAGAAAAAACAACGAAAGAATAACAATTATCCTGGCGAAGGACCCAACCATATGCAATTGTGAATATTGCAATTATGAATATCTTCTCGGTGGAGCCCCCTACGGGGCCACGAAACGTACGAGGGGTGTGCCGAAATTGGTGTGCGGGACGCATGCGGGCACACCCACTGGGGCCTTCGGTGGAGCTCCCTATGGGGCCACGAAACGTGTGAGGGGTGTGCCGAAATGGGTGTGCGGGACGCATGCGGGCACACCCACTGGGACCTTCGGCGGAGCTCCCTATGGGGCCACGGAACGCGTGAGGGGCGTGCCGAAATGGGCGTGGCTGACGCATGCGGGCGCGGGCACTGGGGCCTTCGGCGGAGCTCCCTATGGGGCCACGAAACGTGTGAGGGGTGTGCCGAAATGGGTGTGGCTGACGCATGCGGGCGCGGGCACTGGGGCCTTCGGTGGAGCTCCCTATGGAGCCACGAAACGTGTGAGGGGTGTGCCGAAATGGGTGTGGGTGACGCATGCGGGCGCGGGCGCTGGGGCCTTCGGTGGAGCTCCCTATGGAGCCACGAAACGTTTGAGGGGTGTGCCGAAATGGGTGTGGGTGACGCATGCGGGCGCGGGCACTGGGGCCTTCGGTGGAGCTCCCTATGGGGCCACGAAACGTGTGAGGGGTGTGCCGAAATGGGTGGGGGACGCATGGGGCGCAGCCACTGGGGCCTTCGGTGGAGCTCCCTATGGAGCCACGAAGCGTTTGATGGGTGTGCCGAAATGGGTGTGGGGACGCATGGGGCGCGGGCACTGGGGCCTTCGGTGGAGCTCCCTATGGGGCCACGAAACGTGTGAGGGGTGTGCCGAAATGTGTGTGGGTGACGCATGCGGGCGCGGCCACTGGGGCCTTCGGTGGAGCTCCCTATGGGGCCACGAAGCGTGTGAGGGGTGTGCCGAAATGTGTGTGGGTGACGCATGCGGCCGCGGGCACTGGGGCCTTCGGTGGAGCTCCCTATGGAGCCACGAAACGTGTGAGGGGTGTGCCGAAATGGGTGTGGGTGACGCATGCGGGCGCGGGCACTGGGGCCTTCGGTGGAGCTCCCTATGGAGCCACGAAACGTGTGAGGGGTGTGCCGAAATGGGTGTGGGTGACGCATGCGGGCGCGGGCACTGGGGCCTTCGGCGGAGCTCCCTATGGAGCCACGAAACGTGTGAGGGGTGTGCCGAAATGGGTGTGGGTGACGCATGCGGGCGCGGGCACTGGGGCCTTCGGTGGAGCTCCCTATGGAGCCACGAAACGTGTGAGGGGTGTGCCGAAATGGGTGTGGGTGACGCATGCGGGCGCGGGCACTGGGGCCTTCGGTGGAGCTCCCTATGGAGCCACGAAACGTGTGAGGGGTGTGCCGAAATGGGTGTGGGTGACGCATGCGGGCGCGGGCACTGGGGCCTTCGGTGGAGCTCCCTATGGAGCCACGAACGTGTGAGGGGTGTGCCGAAATGGGTGTGGGTGACGCATGCGGGCGCGGGCACTGGGGCCTTCGGTGGAGCTCCCTATGGAGCCACGAAACGGTGTACTGGGTGGGTGAAGAGGAGAGGAGGAGAGGAGGGGAGGAGAGGAGGAGAGGAGAGGAGAGGAGAGGAGAGGAGAGGAGAGGAGAGGAACGCGGGGCACCGTCTCTTCAAAACGAGGACCCAACACCACAGGATGGTTGGGAAAAAGGACAAACAAAAAGAACAACAACAAAAATAACAACATATAACAAAGAAATAAAGAAAAATAATAATAACAACAACAAGAGACGGCCCACGAGGTCGCCAGGAGGCACCCAAGAGAGCCCAAAGGGCCCCCAGACGAGGGCCGGGAGGTCGAGGGCCGGGCGTTGCCTCCTGCCGTCGCCCTCCTCCGCCCTCGCCCTCGCTTCTGATCCTTCCTCCTCCATCGGGAAGGCCTTACGGCTGGTGCCGCCGACGACGGCGGCGGCAGCAGCGGCGACGACGACGACGACAACGACGACGACGACAACGACGACGGCTGGTGCCGCCGACGACGACGACGACGACGACGACGACGACGACGACGACGACGACGACGACGACGACGACGACGACGACGACGACGACGACGACGACAACGCTGACGCCCTGGAGCTCTCCTTGGGGCTCTCTAGGGAGCCTATTGGGCTCTGTGGGTGGGGGGGGGGGCTCCCGGGCGCCTTCTTTGGGGAAGCTCCGTGGCCACGTGGAGCCGCCCCCCCGGAGTGGAGCCGAGGCCTCTCGGAGGCGCGCGGGAAGCTTTGCGCAGCACCCCGCGGGGGCAGATAAGAGAGTGGCGAGGCTGCCGCTCGGGGGAGGGGGGGGGTTGCTTGGTGGAGGCGGGGCGTGCGCGGTGGTGGTCCCCTCGTTCGCAAGGGGGGGCGGCGGGGCGAGGGGTCCCGAGCTACGAGGGGCCCCCCCCTCTCCCGTCCCCCTTTGTCTTCCCGGGGGGACCCCCGAGGGGGGAGGTCCCGACCCCTTGGTAATTACACCCCTCGTTGCCCCCCCCCCCCCCCCCCCCTCAGGACCTCCCCCTGGGGAAGGGATCCAGGGGACGTGGTCTTCTCTCGAGTCAACCGCGACGCTGTATGATTTCCCTACGGCTGGATCGCGCGGGGAGGAGGGCCCAGGAAACGGGCGGGAGCGGCGACGGCGACGACGAGGACTCAAACGGAGAAACGTTTCACATGGTCCCGAGAGGCCACAAAAGCGCCCCAAGAGAACCCAATACGCCAGTACGGTCCCATAGGGCGACCAAACAGCCTTGAGACTGCCGCGTGAGAGTTTCGCGACCGAAATGGGAGAAGGAGGGTGAGAAGGAGAAGAAGCAGCTCGCCTGCTCACCGCCATCACTTCTTCTTCTCCCGCCCTCATCCTCGTCCTCCTCATCCTTCGTATTCCTCATCCTCTTCCTTGTCCTCCTTCTCCTTATCACCTCATCCTTATCATATTCAGATTCGTTATCTCTTGTCCTCCCGCCCTCCTCCTTTCTCAGCTTCTTCCGTATACCCCTCTTTATTATCCTTTTTCCCTCTTCCTCCTCATCGTCCCTCTTCTCTCCTCCCTGCTCCCTCATCGCCTCCCTCCCCCATGCCCTGCCCCCCACCCCCTGTCTCATCCCCATCTGCTACTCTTGGTAGTCGGAGTGCGCGGCGGGCGGGAGGGACAGTAGCCAGGGATAACACATGTTTATAGCAATATATGCGTGCGTTCGTGTGCATACCTCTGACCCAAATCCGACCACTGACCCCCTATCGTGCCTGCAGCAGCGAACGCGTTGTCTCCGAAACCCACGAGTACTCGGGCATGGGCCCTCTCCCCTGCCCGCTGAGCTCCAGGCTCCCCAGCACGTATGCGTGCAGGGCAGAGGCAGAGGAGCTCGCGGGCCCACTGGGTGCCACAGCAGACGTGCCAGAGCAAACGCACAAGTCTCTGGCAGACAAGTCCTCACGAGCCATTTCGCGAGCTTCTGCTCCCCGTCCTCCCTCCCCGCTCTCCTCGTTCTCGCTCCCCCTCCCTATCTCCCCATACCCCCCCATCGTGCTGCTGTTGCTCCTCCTCTTCCCAGCCTCCTGCTCTTCCTCCTCATCCTCATCGCCCTGCGCCTTCCCCCCCGTATCCCCCCTCCCTCTTCCTGCCAGCACGCGACGAGACCCACTCGAGCATACCAGGCCCTTCTGCACCCGAAGCACGTCTCTCCGTCCGTGCCTCGCCCCTCCGTCCGCCCCGGAAAAGGCAAACCCGGCGCTGGCGCTGCAGGTCGCCGCCAACCCGCTGCTGGCCAGCCGAATGCTGCAGCACGCCCAGGCGGGACAGGCAGAGGAGGAGGAGGACGAGGAGGAGGAGGAGGAGGAGGAGGGAATGTACTTTCCTCCTCCTCCTCCTCCTTGTCTTTCTCCTCCTCCTCCTCCTCCTCCTCCTCCTTGTCCTCCTCCTCCTCCTCCTCCTCCTCCTCCTCCTCCTACTTGTCCTCCTTGTCCTCCTCCTCCTCCTCCTCCTCCTCCTCCTCCCACCCTTTTGTCTGCACTTTCATGTGTACTATCGTACTGCTTCGTTCGCCTTTCTGTTCCTGCAGTGTGGGCTCTTTTGCAACACATCACTTTCATTCAACGCCCCCCTGCAGCACCTCCTTTGAAAACATTCTCTTTGTGTTCCTGATTTTTTGAGCCTGCAGAGCGGCAGTCACGGCGCAAACTCGCACGCGCATTCAACAATCAATGGGTATTCGGGGTATGGCTTCGACGAGGGTCGGGACCGCTCGGTGTAATCTTTATCAGAGCCATCATGGCGGATGACAGGCGGTTTTAGGAGCCATCGACGGCCTTTAGGGGTCCATGGGCCACGAAGTCCGTGAGGGGTATGCCGAATCGACGCTTCTTTGAACCGTCGGAGGGTTCAGCTGAGGACCCCTGGGAGGCCATGAGGCACGAAGTGTGTGTGTGTGTGTGTGTGTGTGTGTGTGTGTGCGTGCGTGCGTGCGTGCGTGCGTGCGTGTGTGTCGAACTGAGGCTACCTTCAGCCGTCTTGAGGGCCAGCGGATCGCTCCTGGAAGTCCATGGGGCACAAAATGCACGAGGGCTGCTGCCTTGAGGGCCAGCTGAGCGCGCATGATGTACGAAGTGCGTGAGGGGTCTGCCGATATGAGGCCCCCATGGTAGTAGAAGGGCAGTCCTTCGTATTCTTCGTCTCCCAGAGGCGTGATGGCCCACACCACCAGTGCTATCACGTATCCAAATTCATCTGTCAACGCCTCCCCCCTCCCCCCAATGTTCAAAGTTGGCGGTGGGTCTGATGAGATGCACTTCGACCGCAGTGTTTTCCGCCGCGACCCCGGGAGGGGGGGGCGGTATTTTGACCCGGGCCCCCCCCCGTCAGGGAACGGGAAAAGGGCAGGGTTTCAGTTCCTTCTCCTGGTTTCTCCGAAAAAAAGGGGGAACAGTCTCAGACACGCCAAAGGGTCGGCAGATCTGTACGCGTCCAGAAGGAATCCCCAGGAAATCGGCCTCATCTAGATTGCATCGAAGCATCCTCGGCCGGCGGAGTGTGCGAAGCCGCTCCTTGACTCTCCTCCGGCATCCTCCGACGGGGGCCCGCAGGGCGGCCTCCGCATTCGAGCTCTTCGCTTGTTCCGCCGGTTCACACGGCATTATCGCTGTCTCTTGCCCGTGCCCTCGCGGGGATTTGAAGGATGCTGGGTTGTGGTACTTACCCCAAGTTCTCGTAGGAAGCTCGCGCTGGCGGACGCAGTCACTTGGTAGGTGGGGGCGAACTGGGCCCCATTCGGGCGTTGTTTCTTGTTTCGCTTACCACCTTGGTAAGTGCACTGAAGCGGATGGAGTCTGGGGGACCGCTTGGGTATCCCCGTGTCTTGCCATCCGGCGATGCCACAGAGCGGCGGCGGCGGTGGCGGGGGGGGCGTGGGCAGCGATTAAGGAGCCTGGAAGAGAACAGCAGTTGACAGCCTCGGCACGGTGTCATTGGTTTTGGTATTTGCCAGAATCAGCCCTCACTGCTCTGACTTCGTGTTTGTCCTTGAAGAAACAAGCGTGCAGCTGGATGTGCACTTCGTTTGCAACGTAGGCATGTGCATATGCACAATCGAGAACTAGTAACGGGTTCGCACGAACATGTTTCTTTTCTCTATATACACCTACCTGGTGGCTCTCTCCCATCCTCTGCTGTCTTCCCCTTCTGGTTGCCCCCCTCCCGAAGGCCTTCACCCATACGCCCGTGCAGACCATCAACCCCGACGTTCAGGAGCCGAGCGAGTCCATACCACGAGCGTTCAAGCATACCGAAGCAAGGAATATGGAACTAAGGAGGACGATGATGATGATGATGATGATGCTGCTGCTTGTGGTGATGATGACGGCGACGACGATGACGACGATGACGATTACTCTTTTGATGATAATTCTGATTATTGCGATGATGATGACGATGATGATGAAACTGATGCTGATGCTGCTGCTGACGACGATGACGATGACGATGACGATGACGATTCTGATGATGATGATGATGATGATGATGATGATGATGATGATGATGATGATGTAGATGATGATGTAGATGATGATGATGATGATGATGATGATGATGATGATGATGATGCTGATGATGCTGATGATGATGCCGTTGCTGATGATGGTGACGATGATGTTGATGATGATGATGATGGTGGTGGCGCTGATGGTGATGCTGTTGGTGCTGATGATGATGGTGATGCGGCTGCTGTTGCTGATGATGATGAGGATAATGGCGATGTCGATGACGATTACGACGATGATGATGATGATGCTGCTGATGATGATGATGATGATGATGATGATGATGATGATGCTGATGATGCTGATGTGATGACAAGGATGATGATGCTGATGCTGATGGTGATGATGCTGAGGAGGAGGATGATTATGATGGTGATGATGCTGATGATGATGATGCTGATCATGATGATGCTGCTGCTGCTGATGACGATGGTGATGGTGAGGATGATGCTGATGCTGATGATGAGTATGTTCTAGGTTGTGATGATTGTTATTCTGAGTATTCGCATTTCTATTGTCATTTGTTCTTTGTTCTTTTGTTCATTTGTATATTAAGTACTGTCCGTCTATGTTTCATTCACGTTTCTCATCATTCTTATCAGTGCGCTTAGTCTAGTTATGGTGTCCGTCACATTATTATGATCATTATTACCATCGTTTGTATTATTACGACTATTGCCATCCGTCGTAATAGTATGACTATGGCCATTGTTCTTAATATTGTTAGTCTTATTGTGTGCAGTCGTGTTTCCATCATCAGAAAGAGCGTGTTCTACCGCTGCTGGCGGAAAACCGGGGGGGGTCACTACCGGTTCGACCCCCCCCCCCCTCCGGAAAACCGGGGGGGGGGTCACTACCGGTTCGAACCCCTCCCCCTCCCCCCCGTTCATCATGAAAAGGGGGGGGTCTCTACCGGTTCGAACCCCCCCCCCCCCTCCTCCCCCTCGAAAACCGAGGGGGGTCACTACCGGTTCGAAGCCCCCCCCCCCCTCGAAAACCGAGGGGGGGGTGCGGACAGTGGTGGGGACCGTGGTGATGGGGACAGTGGTGAGGGGACAGCGGGACAGTGGTGGGGACAGTGGGACAGTGGTGGGGACGGTAGTGGTGGGGACAGTGGTGAGGACAATGGTGGGAACAGTAGGGACAGTGGACAGTGGTGGGGACGGTGGTGGTGGGGACAGTGGTGTGGGGACAGTGGGAATGAGGTGGAAACAGTGGGACAGTGGAGGGTACAGTGGTGGGGACAGTGGTGAAGGCGGTGGCGAGGACGGCGGTGGGACAATGGGACAGAGGTACAGTGGGGACAGTGGTGCGGACAGTGGGGACAGTGGTGGGAACAGTGGGACAGCTTACTGGGACAGCGGAGGAGTCAGTGGGACAGTGGGGATAGTCGGGCAGTGGTTGGGGCCGTGGAGAAAGTGGGGGGGAGTGGAACCCTGGTGGGAACAGTGGCGGGGACAGTGGGGACAGTGCGACAGTGGTGGGGGGCACTGGTGGGGAGAGTAGGGACGGTGGTGGAGCCAGTGGGGACAGTGGTGGTGAGGACAGTGGTACTGGGAACAACAGTGGGGGATGTGGTGCGGACGGTGGTAAGGACCGGGAGTCGTTTGCTGGCGGTGAGCGGGGGGTGGGGTGGGGAGGGGTTCGAACCGGTAGTGACCCCCCCTCTGGTTTTCCAAGGGGGGGGGGTTCGAACCGGTAGTGACCCCCTTCGGTTTTCGAGGGGGAAGGGGGGGGTTAGGGGAGGGGCGGGGCTTTGCTTGGGGAGGAGGTGTGGGGGGGGGAGGGGTTCCAGCAGGGGGGGGGGATTTTCGGAGGGGGGGAGGGGGTACCCCCGGGTTCCGGAGGAAAAGGGCGGCAATTTTCCACAGTAAAGCGGCGGTGGATCACGCTCTCTC